AGTCACCCTCAGGACTGTGTGTGGGCAGCCTCTGAACCTCTAGGATTGTTCTGAGAAGCCAGCCTTCTGCCCAGCTGTGTGTGACAGAGGCATCCTGAGCCCTAGATGCAGAACTGCTCCACCTCCAGTCTGTCTCTGTGGGATGTGAGTGTAGCAGTGACCTTGTGCGTCTACCCCTTCGTGCTCTTCCCCTGCCCACTCAGTGACAGCACCTGGCCCAAGCCCTGCTCTCAGCCGACTCTGCCCTGGACTCTGCCCTCTCCAGCCAAGTTCTCCTGGTCTTCACTGGCGCCCTGAGCTTCTGTAGGAGAGGGGCAGGCCCTTGTGAAAGGCCACCCCCTCACGTGGCTACATCACAGAGCTGGAAAACACTGAAAAGATCCCCAAGGTAGTTACCCTAAACAGTGAAGCTTGTACCCATCCTCCAGGCAGAGGACAGAAGCTCATCCCGGAAAAGGACTTCTTGAGGAAACAGAAGAGCTGAGAGCAGCCGAAAGAGCGGCAGAATGCAAGTGAAAACAGCGTCGGAACTCTGGAGAAAACAGCGTCGGAACTCCGGAGAAAACAGCGTCGGAACTCCGGAGAAAACAGCGTCGGAACTCCGGAGACAGTTGGTGTGTTGGAGGGCAGTGGAAATGGCTCACCAGTTCTTACTCCTTGCTGGGGAAAAGGGAAAGCAGAGGGGAGAGATTCCTTCTGACAACTGCTCCAGTTTATTACCTGCGCTCTTATGCCGTACGCTGGACTAAACTGCAGCCTCATAACTTTGGGTCTTAATTTTGGGTCTTGTAATTATAAAGTTTACCTATGATGTAAATTGCTTCAAATGAGGACTTTGGGCATAAAAGAACTTTTTTATTTTTTCTTAAGATCTCACTGTGTAGCCAGTATAGACCATGTTGGCCTTAATCTCACAGAAATCTGCTTGCCTCTGCCTCCCCAGTGCTGGGATTAAAGGTGTATGTCACCATGCCCAGCTTGAAAATAACATTTTTTATGGTTGTTCACCCCCTCCCCCGGTAGCAGAGTTGAGACTGGGGATATAGCTCAGTTGGTACAGCCTAGCATAGACAAGACCCTGAGTTCAGTCACTAATGTTGTATAAACCAAGCATGGTGGTGGATACCTGTTATTGTACTACTTGGGATGTGGAGCTAGGAAGGCCAGAAGTTCAATGTCATCTTCAACTACATAGTTTGAAGCACATGAGAAGACCCTATCTCAAAAAAAAAAAAATCTTGTGGTTTACCTGTATAAATATGTCCATCAGATGTAACTTAACATTAATAAAACATTTAAGGCATTTACATAAGACTTCAAGCCATTTGTTGTAATCCATAATTTAAAATTTTAAGTATGTTTTTCTTTTCAAAGTTGATTTTTTTCCTATTGTTTTTAGAAAAAATATAAGTGGTTGGGCCAGAGAGATGGCCCAGTGGTTAAGAGCATTTGCTGCTTTTGCAGAGAGCCGGAGCTCAGATGCTAGCACCCACCTCAGACAGCTCACAGTTGTCTGTAACTCCAGACCCAGGGAATCTGACACCCTCTTCTGACCTCCATAGGTACCTGCACTCACATCCTCAGACATACACAGAAACACACATAATTTAAAATTAAGTTAAAACAGTATGTAAGTGGTAAACATAATTGAGCCATCTTGAAAAATAATTATAGGTATTAATGGGAGACCATGTGATTTTTTTTTTTTTGATACGTATGTACACTGTGTAATGTTTGAGCTAGGGAAAACAGATTTAGTTCATTAAATATATAGTCATTTCTTTATGGTAAAATTCTTTCTTCTAGTTTTATGACATGTACATTTTATCTGTAGGCACCTGGTTGTACGTCAGCACACATTTTGCTCCTGTCTGTCTACCCATGGGCCAATCTTTCCCCATCCCTTCTCCCTTCCCAACCCCCCAGTCACCAGCTTCCAGTAACACTGTTCTCTCAATTTCTGAAAAACTAACGTTCTTAGATTCCATTTGAGTAGATCACATAGTATGTATTTACCACCTAGACGTTATTAACATTTCCTGTCTGTCATCCTTGTCATCTTTCCAATACATTTCAATGGAAATTGCAAGTATCGTTATATTTCCTTGAAATACTTAAGCATGTTTATCTTTAACTATATATATGTATACATGTAATTAAAATATTTTATTACATTTGTTTATTTTGTGTATGTGCATGCGTGTGCACCTGTGCCACGGTCTATGTGCAGAAGTCTGAGGACAATTTGCAAGAGTTGGTTCTCTTTTTCCATCGTGTGAGCCCTGGGGGTCAAACTCAGGTTGTCAGGCTTGGTGGGGAGTACTTTTACTCACTGGGCCATCTCACCAGCCCATAGCCAGTGTATATTTATAGTTATGTTTTCTTTTAAATTCTCTCATGAAATGAAGAAACTATAGGTCTACATTTGCTAAATTTCAGAAGTATATGTACCTGTAAATGGAGTTTACACTCCTTTCAAAATCCCTCATGCCCCTTCTTGTCAGTCCCCCATCCTAGCAGATCCTCTGATTTGTCCTACTGTGTTTTAATTCTGTCTGTATTAGACCTTCATATTAATAGAATCATATTGTGTCAACTCTTTTCACTCAGCATAATCTTCTTGACATTCGACCATGTTATATGAACTGATAGTCTCTTAGTGTTCCATTGTATGACTGTATTACAGTGTTTATTCTTTGTGCTATAAGTAGACTCTTAGATAACCAATGATAGGAATATTCATGCACAAATCTTTGTGTGGACTTTTTTTTTTTTTGGTGAATGCCTATAAGTAAGTTTATTCTATGCTTCTGCCAAGAACTATGATAGTCTAGTTGTTGACTAGAGTATCTGCAGGGCGTGGCAGCACACACCTGTAATCCCAGTACTCTTGAGGTAGAAGCAGGAGGACCATGACAAATTGAGGCCAGCCAGGGCTACATAGCAAAACTTTGTCACCCCCTCCCCAAGGATATTTCAAGTACAAAGGAAAAAGAATTCCTCAGTATTTTTGTAAACTTCAATGCCTTAGCAAGTTTGCACTTACGCATATCAGTGTTTCCCGCTTTCTAGCACAAAGGATGTGATGAATGGATCTCTTTGATCTTGGATTGCAGTTTGGATGTGGTAGGCTACATGTGTTCTGGCCCTGAGAACTTTCTTTAAAGTGACATTCCTAAGTCAGTTTGTTTTGTTTTGCTTTTCTTCTAACAAAACAAGGTTTTTCCTCTAAGAGGAAGATCAGAAGAATTTCATTTGGGCAGAGAGTTATGGGTGCAATTGATTGAATGTAGGAACTCGTAAGACAAAGCCCTGGAGATGGAGCCATAAGTATCTCATACACACAGCTGCCCAACAAGTGACCTGAGCTTGGTAGGCTGCTGCATTATTGAGATGAGGTTTGGTGTGATGTTTGGAACAGCTTTGATGGGCACCTTTCCTGGGTGTGGCCACCCTGGTGTATGTAGTGAGTCCTGGTTATATTATGGGGCTCATCCATATGTCTCATGACTAAAATTTTTGTTCTTGTGGAGAGCTGGGATCTTGCTTTCTTGGGAACTCTGTGCCATCCATTCTGGGGATTGCAGATTGCAGGAGCTATGGGGTTTTTCTACCTCTTTTAGGCATTTCAGATTCACGCAGTCTCTATAAATAACTGTCCTTCATTTCCAAAAGCATAAAGTTATCATCAGGCAAGCTTGATACTCTTCTCATTAGCAATGGGGACTTTTGTCAGCAAAATGACAGTATTACTAGGACTGTCCATTTCAGATGCCTGACATCCTAACAGGAAGTTTATGCCCTGTGCTAATAGGAGAGTGATGAATAAATTGGGCACACTGTAAATTTCATGTACTGCTTTTTTTGCTATTTTCTATTTTCACTTCCATCAATAGCTATTTTCTGAAATTTTTGTTACCTTTATATAATCCAAAAGTAGATTTAGTGGAGGCAGAAAAGGCACAACAGAGAATGTATTAAAGTTATAGCAGCACAGAAAGACCATGCCAGGCCAGGGAATGACCTTGGTAGTTTTGGGGTGGGGGTGGGTGTTTATCCTTAAGTTATGCCTGATCTCAGGCAGCTGTGTGTGATTTGCCACTACTAGCAATCTAACATCAGCTAATTTTTATTTCACGGCTTTGACATTTGTTTCTGATTCTTTTTGTGTTTGTTTGTGTGGTTTCTTTTGTTGCTCTGCAGTTTTGAAAATAAAGAGACATCACTGACTGATTCATGCGTGTTCATGGTGCACACTTCTGGGTTGTTTTCACACTGACTGATTCATGTGTGTTCATGGTGCACACTCAGTTGCATTTTCACACTGACTGATTCATGTGTGTTCATGGTGCACACTCAGTTGCATTTTCACACTGACTGATTCATGTGTGTTCATGGCGCACACTTCTGGGTTGTGTTTTCACACTGATTCATGTGTGTTCATGGTGCACACTCAGTTGCATTTTCACACTGACTGATTCATGTGTGTTCATGGCGCACACTTCTGGGTTGTGTTTTCACACTGATTGATTCATGCATGTTCATGGTGCACACTCTTTTGGGTTGTGTTTTCACACTGATTGATTCATGTGCGTTCATGGTGCACACTTCTGGGTTGCGTTTTCACACTGATTCATGTGTGTTCATGGTGCACACTTCTGGGTTGTGTTTTCACACTGATTCATGTGTGTTCATGGTGCACACTCTTTTGGGTTGTGTTTTCACACTGATTGATTCACGTGCGTTCATGGTGCACACTTCTGGGTTGCGTTTTCACACTGATTCATGTGTGTTCATGGTGCACACTCTTTTGGGTTGTGTTTTCACACTGATTGATTCATGTGTGTTCATGGTACACACTTCTGGGTTGCGTTTTCACACTGATTCATGACTGTTCATGGTACACACTTCTGGGTTGCGTTTTCACTGACTGATTCATGCATGTTCGTGGTGCATACTTTTCTTGGTTGTGTTTTCACATCTTTCCATGCTCTACATAGCTTCTGGCTAGCAAGGAGGATGAGGACACAATCAAAATTGAAGAGAATGATGAGAATTATTTCCAGAGTGACCGGCATTTGGAGCAGAGTAATGAGGTAGGAACACAGTTTACTCCTTATTCTGTGTGTCCCCTTCTGTGCCCAAATCAGTCTTCAATCTAGAGTGAGTGTGGTGGGTTCCACTTCGTTTGCCTGCATTAACTGTCTGCTATATGCCTGTGGAGAACAAAGAGACTAGATCTCTCTCTTCCGCCTCCCCCGCACCAGAAGTTAGAAAGTAGGTAATAGAGCCAGTCATTTAACATATAGTAAGAAATAAGAACTAGCTATAGAGTAATACAGACTGGCTGTTGGACTTGGATAGATGTTGGAGATCTAATCGGACCTATTTATTTTATGCATTGGAAATTGCGACTTGTGAGAGAGATGATTTATCTAGGGCACGGATTAGGTCAGACAGAGTTGGGGTAAGAATCCTGTGTCTGGAAGGCCCTGAACTCTCAGGTCATTTGAGTATAGTGAAAGGGGACCCTATTGGAACAGAGTGACCCTCTACATTCCCTCTGGAACCCAGCTTGGTATCATATGGGCATTGACCCCCCTCCCACCACTCACATAGAATCATCTAGTTACATTGCTACTGAGCAGATGGAGTAAATGGTCTCCAAGATTAGAGGGCCCTGGAGATTGAGGTGCAAGGGGGGACAGGAGGCTGCAGGCCGGCCACCTTAGGTCATCCAGAGTCCATGTGCGTGAAGTTAAGAGTGGGCGGTAGCAAGGTGTAGATGGTTTTGAAGGGAGAACAGTTCAAAGTGGGGTTTTGGAGTTCCTGATTCTGTGTCTTGGCCATGTCTCCATTATGGCTGCTTTCTCTGGCAGTCCTTGCTTAACCTCTAAGCCTGAAATTGCTCCTCAGTAAGGATCGTAACTCCTGTTTAAGATCCCTGAGATAGAAAGGCATATAGTAAGTGCTCAGTAAGTGATAGTAATTGCTGTTTTTATTACTATATCCTAGATTTTTCCCTTTCTGGAGGTTGCTTATTTGATGGATTTAATAACTAGATTGATGACAAGCAAGAACCTATAAATAACAGCTATTTGTGTGAGACTTATCTTCCATTTAAAAAAATCTTAATCATTTTTCCAGTGGGTGATGGCTAATGTGTATATCACTAACAGTAATGAAGTCAAGAGGAGTTATTTATAGAATGGTTGAGGAAATTTACAGCTTTGAATAGGGAGAGAGAATGCTAATTGCAGCACCTTAGGACATGCCCAGAACAGGCTTTAACTGGAAGTTCCTGTGGTAGACTCCTCCGGGAACCCCAGTGACCCAGAAAGGTGGATCTGTAAACAATATCTCCATGAGAATTAGGAACTCTCCACCTTCCTAATGACATATATCAAAACCTTTTTAATTAGTACATCTGTAAGGAAGGTATGTTACAAGAAGAACATGATAAATGTCCACAGTGTGGTTGATGACATGGAGTCCAGGCCCTTCTTAGGGAGAACTGTCAAGGAATGGACCAAGGGACAGGAGAGCATGCCTCCAGAGAGCATTTGTAGTGAGCCAGACACGTACCCTGAATTGGTCATTTTTATTTTATTCTCTGAACAGTGGCAGGGGGTGTGGTACCACTTTAGAGTGAGGAAACTGAGGGTGAGGAGGAGTGATGCACATACCTCCCTGCCTTGAAGTGAGTGTAGGCCTGCACCGTCTTCTCCCCTTGCACTCTCTCCTGACCTGCACCCTTCTGCATCCCTTCTCTCCCCTTCCCTCCCCTTTTCTCCATATGCCTTTGTTGGACCAAATACTTTCATTTGCAGATTATGGAGGACTATGCCAAGGGGGGCTGCAAAAATGGATATTTAAGGCACATGGATTCCAAGACTTTAGACAGTGCTGGGGCCTCCATGCCTGGCTGTCCTGGAGAGCAGAGCTTAGAAGGACAGCTCGTGGGCCTGCTTTCCGCTTTCTTCCTCAAGAAGGCCACGCCATCGCTGGAATCCAGGTAGACGTGGGCCCAGGCATCGCTTTGTGTCTGGTTTGAGGGGAGAACACACTCATTTTGCTAAATGGATTCAGATGGAGCTGTGCAGTGTACCTGGGAGAGCTCCTGAAATGGCTCAGAAGGAATCTTGCCAGTCATGCAATTAAGTAATTAGACTGCAGGCTGGTGGCTGTGAGGGGACTTGAGCAAAGCCTCACGCAGGCCCATTATGAAGAGGGAGAGAAAGCGTTTCCTGAGAATTATTCCTGGGAGCCCCAGAAAGGGCTGCCTGGCTTTCATCGAGAGAGTCAGCCCTACTGGAGTCTCCTCCGGTTTCAGCAACAGCTTAAAAACACTTCGTTGCAGTTGTGACCTTGCTGTTTTATGTTGAGTTTGAACTAAATTCTCTTTTCATTGTATCCAATGGGAGTTGTTCCTATATGAAGAATAATACTACAGGTTGTTTTCCTTAAGACAAAGGAGAGACACTTTTATTTTATAAATTAGTCCATTATGAGCCCTTTTGTGGTCACCGCCAGCGGCGGCCGCTCCTCTGTTCTCGTGGATGCCACTCTGTTCTCACAGGCATTGAGGCTGCTCCTCTGCTCGCCCTGGGCTGAGGCCGCTCTTCTGCTCGCCTGGTGCTAAGGCAGCTCTTCTGCTTGCCCTGTGCTGCCTCCTGTCATCACGGCTTCTGCCCGGTCCTGGACCCCAGGGCTGGTGAGGAGACTGTCAGTGAAGCCGCATCCAGACACAGGAGACCAGGTTCAGTGACATAGGTCTGCTTTATTGCAGGAAAGCACAAGCTTATATAGGGGTAGTGGTCCAATCACAGCACAGCAAGTAGGATACCTTAGTAGCATAACAGACTTAGCGTCCTATTAGCATAACAGACTTAATGTCCTATTGCAGAATAGCGAGTAGGATGCCTCATTAGCATACTGGGTTTCAGATTACAGAGCCTGAATTCCTGGAAACCACATGACCCTGAATGTTGCAATATCTAAGTGTTGCAATTTTGGATTCCAAGGGTGGTGATTAGGGAGTGGCGAGCTCTAGGCATCAGTCTCATGATCTGCCAATGGGAGCAAATGTTACAAGGTGTGTCTTATGGCTCCAGCGGTTGGGCTGTTGCCTCGGGCCTGCTATATGGCTGTCATTAAGACTTTCACCCTAGGCTCAAGCCTGTCTCCCACACCCTTTCATGGTCCTTCTAGGCCACCTGTGACAGCTGCTGGGGCTTTGGAGCCAGAAGGAGCTGGGGCTTTATTTCTTGGTGCCTTCAGTTTCTCTGATCATTTCTCAGGTTGCTCTGAGGACTAAGAATATTGAAGAAAGTTTGCTGGTGTATAGTGTGCTTTCATAAAAACTCTCAGTTTTGCTACAGATAATAGTCAGTACTGCTGTGACCCTTGGCAGGAGCCAGGCACTCTAGCAGGTCTTACGTCATCCATGGCTAAGCCTTTTAGGACCTTTCCCAGCTGAAAAGAGGATTAAAGCATTCTGTTCTTGTGAGTTTGGTGAGGCTGACCCTCCTAATCCCTGACATTAACTTTCTTTAGGATGAGTCCTCTAGAGGGTCGTGCCCAGTAGTCATTCTCATTTATTTTCGATGGGAATTAGATGACCACAGTTGGTTCTCAAGAAATATGGACAGATGGCTCAGTGGTTTAGAGCACTGGCTGCTGTTGCAGAGGACCCAGGTTCAGTTCCCAGCACAAATGTGGCAGCTAACAACCGGCCTCAACTCCAGTTCAGGGGATCAAATGCTCTCTTCTGGCCTCTGTGGGCATTGCATACATGAGGTACACTTACATACATGCAGGGAAAACACTCATACATATATAGAAAATTCATTCATTCATTAAAAAAAGAAGTAATTTCATGAGCATCTAAGTCCCCAGCTTTATAAAGTCTGAGGTAAAAGACACCACTGCCTTTCAACCTGTCGGGACGCTCTTGGGACATGTGGATATGGCAAGTGTGAGTTGGATTGGGGGATATGTGCTTGTCTACAGGGAATAGGAGCTCTTTGGCCTCACCCAGTTTGTCAGGAAAGTTTGAGATGAGAGCTTTCATCTTCATCTTCTTTGAATTCTTAATCTCTTTATTTTTAAAAATTCTGACCTAATTATGCTTTTAAAGACAGACCTTTAAGAGCCAGCACTGCAAACAAGCCTGTGCTGTGTGACCTCCTTGTGTGTTTTCTCTTGTAGCTGCCTGTCCCATAGACTTCCCAGCCACTGCCAGCCAGAGCTAGTGTTAGAGAAGCCAGTGTAGCTCTGCTGCCCAATCTTTGTTTCTGATCATCATTCCTCCCTGTGCACCACTGACACCTTGCTGGTGTAGTTGTGGTTTCCGGGCCCTACTGAAAGCCTGACCTATGTTTACTCTCTAGACCAGGCCTTGGCTGGGTGTGACCCAGGCCTAGCTTTACATGCTGTGCCCAGTGATTTTTTTTTTTTTTTTTTTTTACAAAGATGAGAGCTGACAGAGACTCAGAATTCCCTTAGCTAGTTAGTTGTCAAGCTGCTGGAGAGCTTTCTGAGAATAGGAGTAATCAGTATTCTCATTGGTCAGAGAAACACTAGTCTGCCTGGAAATCCCTTCCAGCAGTGTGACGTTTTTGTTGCTCTAGAAAAAGCAGGCATTGAGCAGTGCTTCTGTCTAGCTCTGCCGTTCTATCTGCGCCTCTGTCCCCATCTTGGCTTCTTCGTCTGTAACATGAGGGATGATGGTCCGTATCCCCTAGGGAACCTTAAAAGGATTGACTAAAATAATGGATATAGGTTATAGATCTAGGTCAGGGCTAAGTGAAGTTTGGGGGTTATTATTGTCTAAGTCTTGCCTTGTAAAAGCATGTGTGGCAGTCAGTTTGAGACTAGCCTGGGCAATATAGTAAGACCTTGTCTCAACCCCTCATTAAAAAAAAAAAAAAGTCCTACCAATTAATCCCACCCTTTGCCACTCAGCCGAGATAAGATTAACATTGATGCCATATGCAGGCACAGCAACCAGCTAATGATTTGTGACTCTATTCATTACTGCACCAACATTTGATGACCTCAGTGCTAAGCTTTGACAGACTTAGGCCTAAGACTTCCCCTCACCCTCTGAGCTTTTCTACCTTCTAGCACACCTACCCTAAGGGGCTATCAAAATACCTAGGCTCCAGAATGACTGACTCAACCTATTTACCAGAATGAACTAGGAAGTGGCCTAATTAGTTGCTTTGCACTTGACCAACCAGAGCAACTCACTTGTTGAAGGTGGCGGGAGAAGGCCTGGGTGCTCTGCCTTGTGGAATGGGCTCTGCTCCCCCTTTTGCTTTGGCATTGATTTTGTGTGGATTCCCAGCCCTCTGCATGGTTCAGAATTTCTTCATCAAAAGGTTTTGGTCTCAGTAGCTCAGTTAAATGTGATATTTGATAGCTGAAAATAGTAAAACTGTAAAAAAGAGCACTAGGTACGCCTAAGAATTGTTTTTAAAAGGCTAATGCCGTCTTGAGCTTCAACTAATGGGAGGAGAGAGGCCACCCCCAAGAGGTCAGGTGCTGCAGCTGTGGGCCTGTGTAGGGAGGTCTAGAACATGAGGTTGGCAGGGGGTTTCAAGAGGTCGTTGGAGAAATGGCTAAAGGGACCGGCTGTGTTTAAGCTACAGGAGAGAAGACTTGTCAAGTATTATGTTTCTTAGATGTATTAGACACACGGGGGTTCTAGACAGGATCCCAGAAACCCTGATGCTGTCTTCTCCACCTCCCAGACCCAGGCTGCTTCCTCTCCAGCCCTAGCTTCCGCTGTTTTCTCCAAGAGCACTGTAGCCCCTCCCATCTGGGCCTCACAGTGCTTGCATCAAAGTTGTTTAAAATTGCAGAGTGCCACTCAACCCAAATCCTGTACTCTCTACTCTTCACAGGATCAGAATCCTCCCCAGGCAGCACTATGTTCTGTGCCCCTCCCTTAGCTCTGGTCATGCTCTTCTGGCCTTCCTTCTGTGCTTGGCCACACTGCCCTTCTCAGTACCAAGAATGAGTACAGTGGTCTTTGATTTGGGGCTTTGGTACTTGCTGGTCCTGCTGACCAACACTTCTGGTTGCCTCCTCCTAGCCCCTGAGACCTAGCTCCATTCATCTGTTGCACTCTGTTCCTGCTATCTCATTTCCCATTGAAGGCAAGATTTTCTCAAAGGAATTGCTGATATTGATAGCCTCTTCTTTCTCCCATCTATTCCATTCTGAGAGCTTTCATACCTTTGCTGCACTTACCAAGTTAGCCGCAATGTACAAATTGTGAAATCCAGTGACCAGTGGCTCTCTTTTAGCAGTTCTCCCTGGCCTGTTTTCTCTCCACCTCCCTGGCCTCTCCTCAGCCTCCTTTGTTGAAAGATATTGGTATGCTCCAGAGCTGTGTTCTCAGACCCTTCCTTTCTTTGTCCCACTCTTCCATGCCTTTAGAATGTGCTACATGACTGATTTCTGCCTCAGACCCTATATCCAGCTCTGCACTGGACACCTCCAGCCGCATGTGTGATACATTTTAATATTAATCTGTTCCAAACTCAAGTTGTTGTAAACTGCTGCGTCTCTGTCCTTTCCCATGTCCGTCTCTGTGTCCTGCACTTCCATCTACCTAATTTCTATAGCCCAAAGTGCAAGTTCTTCCATCCTCACAGCCCACAGTAAGCCCTCTTAATCTCTCCTCAGGTTACAGTTCAAATCGTCTCTCATCTCGGAATGGTTCTTGGTTCAAGCTGCTGCTCCTCTATCCTGGGTTCATGTGACCTTAAGCCTTTGCACTTGCCCTCTGTTCTCATTTCTATTCTGCTGTAGTCCATTCTTAAGAGTAGCCAGTGATCTTTTAAAAACTGAGTTTATGTTTCTTTCATCCTTAACACCCATCGGTTGATTCCTATTGTCAGAGTTGGATTCAGAGCTCCTTGACCCAGCCTCTGCCATTTCTCCATCCTAATCACCCACCCTTCATGTTCACTGGGCTTCAGCCCTGCTGACCAAGTGTTCTTA